CTCCTGCCTCAGCCTCCTGAGTAGCTGGGATTACAGGCACGTGCCACCATGCCCAGCTAATGTTTTGTATTTTTAGTAGAGACGGGGTTTCACCATGTTGACCAGGATGGTCTCGACCTCTTGACCTTGTGATCCACCCGCCTCGGCCTCCCAAAGTGCTGGGATTACAGGCGTGAGCCACCGCGCCCGGCCGGGAGCTTGCTTCTGATGAACAGAGTGTGACGGAAATGATGACGTGAGGCTTCTGAGGGTGGGTTGTAGGAGCACTGTGGCTTTCTCCTTGCTCTCCCTGGGTTCCCTTGCTCTGAGGAAGGCAGAGGCCATGTTGTGAGGATGCTCAATCAGCTCTGTGTAGGGTTCCCCACAGGAAGGAACTGCACTGTCACTGACAGCCACGTGAGGGCACCGGCTTGAAAGCGGCTCCTCCAGCCCTGGCTAAGCCTTCCTCAGATGAGGCAGCCCTGTCTGATGTCTTAGCTGCAACCTCACAAGAGACTCTGGGCCACGACCACCCAGACACATCACTCCCAAATCCTTGACTGACACAAACTGGGAGACAGCGAATGTTCATTGCTTTTTTTTTTCTTTTGAGAGGGAGTCTCGCTCTTGTCACCCAGGCTGGAGTGCAGCAGCACGATCTTCGCTCACCCCAACTTCCGCCTCCCGGGTTCAAGTGATTCTCCAGCCTCAGCCTCCTGAGTAGCCGGGATTACAGGTGCCCACCACCATGCCCGGCTACTTTGTTGTATTTCAGTAGCGACAGGGTTTCACTATGTTGGTCAGGCTGGTCTCCAACTCCCGACCTCAGGTGATCCACCTGCCGTGGCCTCCCGCAGTGCTGGATGACAGGTGAGCCGCTGCGCCCAGCCGTTTAAGTCGCTACACTGTGGGGTAACTTGTTAAGGCAGCACTGGAGAAACACACTGCAGATACTACTGATGAAACATTTTAAATAATTCAGCGGGTTCTGCCAGCCGTTGGAAAACTCTCCTAGATCTGTAACATTTTGGAGCTGAAAGGACCCCTGGGTCACCTGAGCCACCCCAGCTATGGTCACAGTAACCAAGCCACCAGCAAGATCAACATCTGGGCAGGCATGGAGCAGGTTTCAGTGAGGTTTAATACAACGTGCATTGAAACATCCAAGCTGTTTTCAGAAACAGAAGTCCGAAGTGGAGCTGTGGATTTCCTCCTGTCCATCCTGAGGACGTGCACTGCTCCAGACACAGCAGGCGCTGAGGTGGGATGAGTTGGCGCCACCAGGCACCTGAGGGAGAGGGGACGAGGCAGGGTGAGTAGAAATGTCCTTTCCAGGCTGGGCGCGGTGGGTGGCTCACGCCTATAATCCCAGCACTTTGGGAGGCTGAGGAGGGCGGATCACAAGATCAGGAGTTTGAGACCATCCTGGCCAATGTGTTGAAACCCTGTTTCTACTAAAAATACAAAAAATTAGCCAGGCATGGTGGTGCGCACCTGTAGTCCTAGCTGCTCGGGAGTCTGAGGCAAGAGAATGGCTTGAACCTGGGAGGCGGAGGTTGCAGTGAGTCGAGATGGCGCCACTGCACTCCAGCCTAGGTGACAGAGCAAGACTCCGTCTCAAAAAAAAAAAAAAAAGAAAAAAAAGAAATGTCTCTTGCATATGAAGCTGGCCCAGGATGGAGGCCTGGCAGGGACACTGACGCGACCCAGGCCCCAGGCTCCACACAGTCGGGAGGGAGACGGACTGGAGCAGCGGTCTGATGCCCAGGTGGCATGGCCTTGGGTCTCAGGCCAGCATCTGGAAAACGGGGTGTAAGAGCAGGGCCGTGCAGGACTGTCACGTGGGTAGCGGACAGACACCTCAAGCACGGTGGTTCAGAGGGCAGTTGGCCCGCTGGAGAAACACGTGGATGCTTCCAGGGCCTCACAGGTGCTGGTGAAAGCTCCCGGGGGGACAGCCTCCCCTGAACTGCCTGTATATGGGGCCCCCCACCCAGTTCAGGCTGGGGTGCAGGCTGACATGGGAGCATGGGTCCGCCTGGGAGACTAGCAGAGGGGGTCCAGACAGAGGGCGGGGCCCATGCCCCAACCACACAACCAAGGCTGCGGGGCAGCCAGCTCTAGCCTGTGGCGGGAGGTGCCGGAACGGGCACCCAGGGTCCCGCTCTCAGGCAGCCCTCTCCAGGGTGAACAGAAACCTGCCGCCCTGGCTCTGGGAGCCTGGAGAGCCGCTGTTCCACCACCATCCCGCAGTCCAGCAATCCACCCACCCACCGCGGCCAGGGAGGACGGCCGCAGCCTGCTGAGACTTACCGGACGGGTCTGCGAAGGGTCGGCGGAATCAATCATCCTTTTTAAACTTGCCCTTGATGTAAGGAACCCGCTCCAGGATCAGCCGCCAGTCGGTGACCCACACCAGCCCCACGATGCCAACCGCACCCCACGTGTAGGCCGTGGGCCACCTGCAGGAGGAGAGGTGACGGTCAGGCCTGCTCCAGACGCTGTCTCCAAGAGCGGCTCCTGCCCCACACCTGGGCCCCGGCACTGAGCTGCGAAGCTGGGGCGCCGGCCTGGTGTCCGCGCTGCAGCACAGGCCCCGCCCACACTGCCGGCCCTCAGTAAGCCAGGCTCCTGCCAGGCCAGGAATTGCTCGAGGGGCCGCGGGAGGGAGCGCTGTTGTGGGGAGGCTGGCCCTGGGGAACGTGTAGGTATTTGTCAGTTTGCAGCCACCACGATGGTGGATCCAGTCCGAGTGTCATCACGGTGTGCTGCAGTCTGCAGGAACTCACCCTTCCCTGCCCCAGCTGCAGGACTCCGGGACGTGCCAGGATCAGAGTCCCCATTTCCCAGGTGAGGACTCCAAACAACAGAGGGGGCGAGGCCCTCGCCTGAGGCCACACAGCTGCTGAGGCTCAAGGCCTCTGGTTCCAAGCCCACGCCCTCGCCCACCGTGGCAGGCACCAGGAGCGTTCCCTGTGGTGCCGGGGCCCAGCAATCCCTCCCGCAAGCGTTCGCACCCTCCTACGGACTCAGGCTCGGGCTTCCATCGCACAAGCCCTGGGGCCGCACTTCCAAAGTCAGGCGAGAAAAGACACTCCAAGCACTGGGGCTCACGCCTGTAATCCCAGCACTTTGGGAGGCCGAGGCGGGCAGATGACTTGAGGTCAGGAGTTCAAGACCAGCCTGACCAACATGGCGAAACCCCATCTCTACTAAAAATAGAAAACTTAGCCTGGCGTGGTGGCAGGCACCTGTAATCCCAGCTACTCGGGAGGCTGAGGCAGGAGAATCACTTGGAGTTGGAGGCAGAGGTTGCAGTGAGTGGAGATCGCCTGCTGGTGGCACACACAGCTGCTTCTGGAACCTGGCTCGGAGGCAGACACCACCAACAGGGCAGGAATCTTTGCACCTGTGTCTTCATGGCATTCTGGGTTTGTTTTTTTTTTTTGAGAAGGAGACTTGCTCTGTCGCCCAGGCTGGACTGCAGTGGCGCTATCTCGGCTCACTGCAACCTCCGCCTCCCAGGTTCAAGTGATTCTCCTGCCTCAGCCTCTGGAGTAGCTGGGATTACAGGCACACACCACCACGCCTGGCTAATTTTGTATTTTTAGTAGAGATGGGATTTCACCATGCTGGTCAGGCTGGTCTCAAACTCCTGACTTCAGGTGATCCGCCCACCTCGGCCTCCCAAACTGCTGGGATTACGGGAGTGAGTGACCGCACCTGGCCCGTTTTTTTTTCTCTTTTTTTTGAGACGGGGCCTAGCTCTGTCACCCAGGCTGGAGGGCAATGCAGTCACCATTCACTGCAGCCTTCACCTGCCGGGCTCAAGGGCCCCTCGCATCTCAACCTCCAGAATAGCTTTATTTTTTTATTTTTCTGAGACGGAGTCTCGCTCTGTCACCCAGACGACAGTGCAGCGGCACGATCTCTGCTCACTGCAACCTCCATCCCCCAGGTTCAAGAGATTCTCCTGCCTCAGCCTCCCAAGTAGCTGGGATTAGAGGCGCCTGTCACCATGCCTCACACATTTTTGCATTTTCAGTAGTGACCGGCTTTCACCGTGTTGGCCAGGATGCTCTGGAACGCCTGACCCCAGGTGATCCACCTACCTCAGCCTCCCAAAGCACTGAGATTACAGGCGTCAGTCACCCTGCTTGGTTGTAGCTTTAATTTTTTTGTAGACATACGGTCAGGCTGGTCTCAAACTCCAAGTTTCAAGCGACCCTCCCACCTTAGCCTCCCCAGTAGCTGGGAGTACAGACAGGCACCAACGTGTCCCGATAGGTTTTTAATGTTTTGTAAAGATGGGCTCATTGTGTTGTCCAAGCTGGTCTCCAACTCCCAGGCTCAAATCATCCTCCAGCCCAGGCCTCCCAAATCGCTGGGATCACAGGGGGGAGCCACCGCGCCCGGGTAAGGCCTTGCTGCTATTTTTATTCTTTTTTTCTTTTGGAGACTGAGTTTTGCTCTGTCACCCAGGCTGGAGTGCAATGGAGCAATCTCAGCTCACTGCAGCCTCCGCCGCCTGGGTTCCAGTGATTCTCCCGCCTCAGCTTCTGGAGTAGCTGGGATTACAGGCACCCGCCAGCACGCCTGGCTAATTTTTGCAATTTAAGTAAAGACCCATGTTGGCCAGGCTGGTCTTGAACTCCTGACCTCAGGTGATCTGCCCGACTTAGCCTCTCCAAGCGCTGGGATAAAAGGTGGGATCCACTGCACCTGGCCAGGTCTTGCTTCTTAGCACCCCACGTGGAAACACCAGACAACCCTACAGAGGCCACCCCCAGCCTGGCTCCCATGGGGGTCACCCCCATGCCGTCCCGCCGCCCAGGTGGGATCAGGCGCAGCTGCAGCTCTCACTACTTGCTAAAAAATCATAATAACCAAAATAATGGCAAAGGTCGAAAATGTCGTGGGTGCTGGGCTGGGGTTCGGGCCTCAGTGCCTTCTGAGGTGCTCGGGGTCTCGGTCCAGGGGGTCACCACTCGGATCCCCCGGTAGGGATGGGGAAACTGAGGCTCAGAGCTGCCTAGTCGCGGAGCCGAGCATGCTGGGGTTTTGCCTTGGGTCCGCCACGTCCCGTTCGCGCCCGGACGCTATGCTCCGCCTCTCGGCCTCAGTTTCCCCCTCTGTCACCGGGCACCATAGGGGACCTGGGCCCGGCCCCCAAGAACGGGCACAACAGCGGCGCGAGGCTGGGCCGGGGCGGGAACGCGGGTGGGGCGGTGGGGCTGCGTCCTCACCAGTTCTTGACCAGCTCCCGGTAGCGCGGGCCCAGGAACCGGGTCAACATCGCGGCGGAGTAGCACCCTCAGGGTGACCCTGTCCGGCCGACCCGGGCACGGTGCGCAGGCGCGGCCGCGGTGCGCAGGCGCGCTGGAACAACAACAACAAAAAAAACCCGCCCTGCACGCTCAAACCCGGAAGCCACTTACAGTAACTTCCGGCGAGGGTTGCGCGACCACAGCGCGGTGGCCCCTCCCCAAGTGGGCGGGGTTAGGGCGGGAGGTTTGACCACGTGCTCTGGTGGCCGATTGTGTTTCTGGGCTCCCGGGGTCAGGGTGGCCCCCCAGCCGCGGGGCTGCGGGCCAGTGACTTTGTGCCCCTAGTATGTGCTAGAACGTTATTTACAATGAAGGAAACTGAGGTTCAACGGGGATGGGTGTTGCCCAGAGTCACACAGAGGGGAAGGGCTGGGATTGGAGCCCACTTTTGGAGGCGTCAGGCGTGCCTGCCTCGCTGTAGGACTTCGGCCGAGCGGCAGTGCTTCCCTGAGCCTCAGTGTGTGCATCCTGGGTTGCCCGCTGCTTGGAAGCCTAGTCGGAAATCTCTTTTCAGGGCGATTCCTCATTCTGGCAGCAGAGGGAAGCCTGGCTCCTCGCACGGTCAACGTCCTGGATGCTCTTGGCTGATGGCAGGCAAGTCCTTCTGGTTCCTGCTTTCCACTGCACCAGGCTTGCTTGGGCTCGTTTTCTCCAGTCCGGACCTCCCCTGCTGTCCCACAGCCCGGCGCAGCATCAGAAATGCTCACTCAGCTCCCAGCCTCCCGCCTGCACACCAGGCCAGTGTGGGCAGAAGGAAGAGGGGCACATTCCCAGACACCGCCATTGCACTTTTGCACCTTTTCCACCATTTTCAAGAGCTGCCTCCCTCAGGAAGCCCTCCTGGACTGCCCGACCCCCAGGCACCTTGACAGCATGAACGGAAAGGCCAGTAGCCTAGAGAGGGGAGTGGGCGTGATTTGTCTCTCGGGCTCCAGCGTGCCCTGCAGGCCTGGTGATAAGGAATGGACACCATGAGTTCGTGTGCTCAGCCTGCCCTGTCCTCTTGGGGCCAGCCCACCTCAGCGACCGAAAGTGCTGGGTTTACAGACGTGAGCCACCCGGCTTGGCCTGAATGCGTATTTCAAAACTTTATTTCCAGCACGAATATAGAAATTTAGAGGTGAGCTGGTTGCTGTGAGTGGCGGACAGGGGTCCACTCTCTTCCTCTTAAACAGACATGGGGTCTCACTATGTTGTCCAGGCTGGACTGGAACTCCTGGTCTCAGGCGATCCTCCCACCTCACCCCACTGAAGTGCTGGGATGACAGGCGTGAGCCACTGCGCCTTCTCCTCCCTAAGGCACTTGTGCACCAAAGCACTCTCTCCTGGGCCCACCCGCCTCAAGTGGCCAGGAAGGCCTCCTTCCCCCCTACCCTGTAGAGGAGTGCGACAGTCCAGCTGTGTCCTTGCACACAGACGGAGCAGGGAAGCCCCTGGCACAACAGCAGATGCCAGCGTGCACTTTAGGATGAGCAGCACCCCTGCAGCTCCTGCCACACCTCTTCCCCCAAGAGAGCCTTGTCCATGGGTTCTGCGGGTGTCCGGTGTGGAGGAAGTCACAGACGCCCCGCTTGGCAGTGTGGAGTCGATGCTGCTAGCAACAGGGAGTCATAGAAGGTTCCAGAGAAGCAGTGACGGGCTCAGACTTCTGCCGACTCGAGCGCATTAAGGGGCAGTGAAGTAGGTTCCAGCAGGCTGGGGCAACGTGGGGACATCAGGAGCCCCCGGGGCTGGGAGGACCGCAGGTCCTGGATCGTTCCCACGCTCCCCACTGCTGCCTCCAGGAAGCCGCTTTTCCCCGGGAGTCAAGCCTGCTTCCCAGTGGCCTGGGTACAGATGCAGGTTAGCAGCTGCCCTGGAAGCCGTGTTCCGGGATTTCAAGCCAACAGTCCCCGTGAGGAAGCCTCGTGCGCGGGGTGCACCAGAGTCCTGGCTGCACTCGCTGAGGGGGATGTCAGGGGCAAGAATTCTGGGCAAGACTTCTGACCTGCCTGCCCCCCACTTTCCTTCCTAAGCAGGCGACACCAGAAAGGATCGGGGTGGCCGAGCGTCGTTATAAAACATCACGTTTATTGCTACAATGCTGTTATGTACAGGACAGGTCTCTGGATCCACTTCAAAGGGGATCGTTTAAAAGTCCCAATAATCCAGCCAGCTGTGTAGACACGTATAAAATTATTTTCTTTAAAAAAACATTATTTTTTGAAAACCATCTTGAGGCACTCAGACCACACACCCCCCCCGCCCCGTTAACTGTGGTTTCCCCCATGAACTGCTGCTTTTCTTCCTCCTCATGCTGAGTGAATCTCATTTAAATTCTATGCAGCACACAGTTCCAGAGGCTACGGGGCGCTGCCCACCCAGACCTGGGGGCAGGGACCAGAGGCAAAACAAGAGTGGGAAAGAGGCAGGTTCCCTAAGAGACCCCGTCCCCAGGGCTGGGGACGCCACGGAGGAAGGAGACGCAGCTGGACAGCCCCTCCCCTCCACCCGGCCTAGGCTGGGCCAGATCCTGGGCCTTGGGGTTCCCCTTGAATCTGCCATGGGGCCCAGGCTCCCCAGCCAGTCTGGGGAGGGGAGGCAGGCAGCCCAGGGTTTCTTGGGGATGGTGGTGGGAGTCTCGGGGTGGCACTTGGGGAGATGTCCGAGCTGCTGCTAGGGTGGGTAGTCAGCCTGGGATCCACAAGGCCTCAACGTGGGGAGGGGAAGGGCAGGCTGGGCCCATGCGTGGTGCCAGTGACCGTCCCTGTGGTCTGTGTGGAGCTGGAGGAGATCCCAGGGCAGTCTGCTGGGAAGAGCTGGTTACCCTCATGGCAAGAGGCCAGCAGAGGGGACTGGAGAGAGGCCTGGGTGCTGGGACATGGGGCCCAGGACACAGATGGGCCGCCCGGCTGGTTCTGTGGCAGTCGGACACACAGCCCAGGGCCTTCGTGGGGCTCAGGGACCAGCACTGTCTCCTGCTCCAGCCACTCCTGCCCTTGGGTCCCACAGTGGGAGGGTAGCAGGGGTGGCCCCGGCCCAGGGATGCTTCCCAGCGTTGGGGATGCCACCAGGATGCATCCTGTCCATGCCACAATGGCCCTCCGCTGTGACAGGGACATGCTGGGGTAGGGGTGTCCTGTGCTGGCCCAAACCTGCATCCCCTCAGCCAAAGTCCGGAGCATGGGCTTGGGTCTTTGTGGCAAAGGAGCGGAGGACGGGGTGGTCTGGGAGGCCCCAGTACCGGGCTCCAGGGTGTCGCCCTGTGCCAGGGGTCGCTGGTCTCAACAAAATGCCCCATTTCAGAGAGGTGTGCAGGTTCCAAGGGAGAGCAGCTTATGGGGGCCTGGGGAGGACGTTGCTTAGGGCAGCCCCGGGGGTCGGAGCTGCTTGGCAGTCACCTGGGAGGGTCAGAGCCACCTTGCCGACGTTCCTTCCCCTAGGCCCAGATCTGCCCCTTCCTGAGGGGAGAGGGTGGGGCAGGGCAGCCCCAAGAAGCCTTCACTGGGGAATGCCCAGGCGTCCCAGAGGGGAACCTCCAACGTGAAGCAGGCAGAAGCCCGGCCGCCTGCCCCACTCCGTCTGCTTGTGCTGCCTTCAGGGACAGGGGGTGGGGGGCTCAGGGTGTCACGGGGTCTTCTTAATACAACGTTTAATCATCGGGTTGACCAGGAAATGCAATGCTCAGTCTAGTAACAGCAGCAGAAGTAGCGAGACACGGAACTTTTATACAAAAAAAGTGTTGCTTACAAAACATATGCAAAAAAAAGCTTAAAAAAAAACCAGAGACCAAAGGCAGCATCCTTGCTCATTTTCATCTCTATTAAGAAAAAAAAAATCTTGTAACTAATGTTTTTATTTTCCTTAAAAAAAAATAATAGTACGCGTAGGCACAATTTGCTGGTGGCTTCTGAAGAGTAAGCCAGGTTTCCACAGCATCTCCCTCAAGTGATATGTTTCCGTTTCTCCACATTTCATAGTTAAGGCATTTTTTCTTTTCTGACAAAGTGTATGTCTTGTTGCTTGCTTTCAGGTTTTGTTTACAGCAAAAAAAAAAAAAAAAAATGTTCCCGTCAGCCCAGGCAACGGGTCAAGACGCAGTTTCAGGATCCCTGGGGCAGATGACGGGGTGACATGGTGGCTGAGATTTGGGGGCAGGGGGATCGAAGCCAGTGAGGGGGTCCCAGGAACTCCCGGACCTGGCGTCGCCTTGGTCACCCCCTTCACTCCGAAACTCATCAGGTCAGCGCCGGCTCGATGCTGACAAAAGGCATGTGAGGTGTGGATGTGGATGAGCCCCGGGGCCTCGGGTGGCTGTCCTGGGCCCGGTGCATGGGGCTGAGGGTGGGTGGCTTGTCCCACGGAGGCGTACCTTTCACATGTGCCCGGTGGGGTTGTGGGTCTCACTCAGGCCTGGGTGGGCAGCGGAAAGCACCATCTGGGGGTCTCCGACCACACCCGACACCTTCTCCTCTTCTCGCCGTTTCAAACAGGCAGCTTTGGGGTTCAGGTTCCGCTCTGGGGGTAGGGGGAGAGCTCTGTGGGAGAGGGTCCCTGGGAGGAGGAGTGGTGGGGAGAGTGGGGTACAGGATGTTGGGGGGGTGGGGGTGGGTGCTGGGCCCGTCACGCATGGCCACCTGTATCTCCAGCTCTCACCTCCTTCCTTGAGAGGACTGGGGGGGTGGGGTGGGGGGGTTGTAAAGAAGAGACTGGGTATCAGAGAGTGTCCAGGGAAGGTCACAGGGTCTGAGGCCAGCCACGGAGAGAGAGACGTGGAGAGTGCAGGGCCAGCGAGCACAGGAGGACCCCGGCGTCTGCACCAGGGTGAGGGAAGGGGAGGGTGCCGGGGCCGCCCTGGCCGGGGAGCCTACCTCGCACCTGCTGCTCCAGCCCCAGGATGACCTGCACGGCCTGCTGCAGGATGAGCAGCTTGGTCTGCGCTTTGTCCGACTTGAGGTGCATCTGGCACATGCGCCCCAGCTCCCGGAAGGCCTCGTTAATATCCCGCACGCGCACCCGCTCCCGCGCGTTATTGGCCATACGCCTCTCCCGGTCCCTCAGGTCTTTCTCC